GTCGTATTTGGGTCATGAATAGTGCTGGATGGAAGGGGTCTCTACCTTTTGTCCCTTAGAAGCATCATTAGCAACTTGGTATGCCTTGTAAAAAGGTTTTCGTGTATTAAATGCCCGGTTGTCTCGCCGAGAGGATTTCGACATTCGGTGATAATATGTCCACCACGTTTACAATAAGTACAAAAATTTTTCTTCTTACATTGGAATGCTATATGATCATATTCTTTACACTCATAACATTGCAGCAAATATGGATCCTTTTGCGATAGTGTTCCTCTAGCCCATTGAGCTACAAGTACAGACTCTATATCCTTCTTTCCCTCAACGGTGGCTTGGGTCGTGATTCTTGTTTCCTCACGAAGTAATTCACCGAGAATAAAGGAGACGTATTAGCTATCAAACTAGATGGGAAAAACTATCTCTATTGGTCATTCCATTTTCAATTTTTGGTTGAAGGGAAAGATTTGTGGATGTATATTGATGGCACTGAACCTGAACCGGCTATACCCTATACTAAAGATACCCAACAATGGAAAATCAACAATGCAAAAATTATCTCATGAATCCTTAGCTCTGTAGATCTGGATATTAGAAAGCCAATGAGAGGCTTCTGTACAGCGAAAGAAATGTGAGAATATTTAGAAAAAGTTTATCAGCAATCAAATCTTGCAAGACGCTTTCAAATCGAGTATGATATGTTTTCTTATAGCCAAGGGGAGAAAACCATTCAAGAATATAATGCTGGTTTCCTGAACTTGTGGATAGAATATGAATATGTAGACTTGAAGGCTATCACTAGTGCTTGTTACATTAAGAGCTTAATGGAGTTACATGGTGATAGGAAGGTGATGTAATTTTTTATAAAGTTGTGCCCAGACTATGAGATTGTTCAAGCCAATATTTTGTATCGTGAAACATTAGTAGTTTTTTTGATATAATGTGGTCCTCAAGATATAATATGGTCCTCAAGAGTCTTGAAATAATATGGTCCCTATGGACCTAAGCAAGAGATCACAATCTATAACAACTCACTTTTTTTTTTTTGCAAACGTGTAACCCTACTTGAGCATGCATTAAACCAATTTGTAAAGCCAAGATATTAGCAAATTTTGCAAAGGCAACGTGTTAACTGATCTTAAAAGACGTAAAGTTATTTTTGCGTATAAAAGTTTGCAGAGTAAAGATATTAACAAAGGTTGCGAAGGCGTGTGTTAGCAGAAATTAACGGATGCAAACCTCATAAGGGACCTTTTGAGGACGCTTATATGGCCTCAGAAAACAGCACAAATAAACTTTCTGGTTTCCAGTTCCAGAGATGAAGATCGAGTTAGTTTGACTGATACCAATCGAGCAAGTTTGACTGATGATCAAGTAGGGCTTCAGCCTTTGAGTTGCAAAAACAAAGATCCAGCAACTCTGGATGGGAATAGATTAGGGTTTGCTATGCCAATGAATTTCAGGAATAAATTTCGAGCAAGTATAAAGTTCGAGTATCTCTCTCTAAAAAAACACAATCGCAATTTTTAGGCTCGTTGAATCACAGGAGAAAGAGGTTGCTGCCTGGTTCTGATACCATGTTAAAATTCTGAATCCTCCAGTGAGATCTCTGTATTTTGATTACTTGTCAAGGATATACAAAGTCCCCATATAAATATACAGACTAACTAATATAGTCTTATCAAGATAGATATCTACATCAAATACAAGATAAATTACAATTAAAACTAAAAACTATCCTAAAAACTATCTCTATCTCTACACCTTATATCATACACCATTCCAATATTGCTCAAAAAACTTTCTTCTCTACAGGAGTAATAGCAACCTCCTTATACCAAAGTACATGGTATCTTGGAGTTTAATTGTTTGCTGTTAAAAATGAAATTCTTATTAAATATAAGAATCAAGAAAATAATTTGAATATTAATAATTCAAATTTTTGTATTATGTTGCCTCTTAAATAAATCTTGTTAAGAAATTATTTTTATAGAAACTAACTATAATTCCTATTACATGTTATTAAATATTACTAAATTTGTATAATCCCTCAATAAATTTGAATCTAAAAACTAAAGAAAAAGAAAGAAAATAAATTGGCTTGGTCCACAACAAAAGATGAATCGTAAAAGAAAAATAGTAATATATCTTTTACAATTTTTGTTTTTATTTTTACAATTTTGGATTGTAGTGCATTGTTTTGTCTATTATTTGTTTTTTCAATTACAATTTGCATAATTTAAATGATATTTTTTTACAATAAAAGCTATTTATTAATTATCTGCATTATATTATTTTTTGGATAATGTAATGAAGTTATTTGTATTTTTGGATAAAAATTTTTTTTTTTAGTTATAATTGAAAATATATTATTTGCAAAGTATCTAGTTTGGATAAAGGAAAAAAATAAGGGAATGAAAGTGATAACTACTTGTTGAGTGTATTTGTAGTCATCGCTAAACGTACGTCTTGAGCAGATGCTACCCTTGAGCAGATGCTAACCCGACGCACTCTTGTCAGGCTGAGCAGATGCTAACCCATGCACTCTTGGTAGGCGACAGATCATGACCAAAGTAATTTAAACATGATTTCCACAATATATTTGCAAGATGCACTTTAAATGTGATAATGTGGTATAGTAAACCCCGGGCTTGCCATCCACATGCCCCAATATATTTTATAAGTCCTGATCGCTGGTTAATATATATCTTGACTTCCGACCGGTTATGAAAAGGCTATCAAATCATCTCATTTTGACCTTATATGCTTTTCCACATAATATTGGAGGAATTTGGATATGGCATGATATATCTGTCAAAGACGGGTTTGACAGTTAGACCTTGAGAAACCTCATCAAATTATATAAAAATGAGGGGGAAACTTGCAGATATGCTTAATGAGATTTTATATACTTCATAATCATACAAATTGGAACATTAATTGGTTCATTATCCAAAAATCCTTCAATGGCTAATATGATAGTTGGATAATTGATCCAAAACTTTAGGGTAATCATACATGAGGCATAATATCGCTCTCCATGAGGTTTCATATCATTTGGAGATGATTTGATTCCTCATTTATATCCGTTGGTAGCCAAGATCTGTATTCATCGTCTGGGCCCTTGTTGTGAAGTCAAGATGACCTCAAGTCACTAAAGTTGTGATTTTTCTCAATTTATAAGGAGTTCTCTCATGGTACTTAGACCTTTGGATTCCTGATGCCCCATCAACCATATGAGTGTGGCACTTATGGGTTTCTCATTTTCTGTTTTTTTTTCTAGTAATTCAGCGGGGAAGACAACACCTTATCGGTTTTTCCTCTTCTTTTTCTTTTTTTCAGGTAATTCAGTGGGGAAGATAGGCCCTTACCCGAAGCTGTTAACCACGATGTAGTAACTGAGAGGGCTTCTTATGTGACAGTTGCTAGCTTCACAACTGAGCTCATAAAAGTATGTAGAAGTTTGAGCGCTCGAACTTCATATCTCCCAATATACGGAGAGATTTGAGCCCAAATGGATATGTGCGTTGTGAGCCCCTCCACAAGATTATCAAGCCCCTAGGTCTATAATCCCCTAAGAAGAAAGTAGGTGACTCTGCCATGCCAAGGTCTGTTATCCTGATATGCAACAGAAATGGGAACGACGAGCCATATCTCCCTCATCACTAAACCATTTGAGGTGAGGGTGGACGGTTTTATCTTTGAGTCCTATATCACCATGCATAATTTTAGGCCAAAAGGATCCATCATCAAAAAGTAACATTGAAAATACTTGTACATGTCCAAACTATTCTTGATGGATCCCAAATAATTGCCATCCCTCGATTTCTCACAAAATCCTATTCCAAATCATGGTGGTTTCGAGTTGAAATTCAAATGTTGGGATGTTTTGAGCTTAAATTGGATCAATTTGGATATTTATTTATTTTGTGCTTTTGGTCAGAGATTTGGATAGACTCCATCAGGCTTCATGACTATCATCTCTCGAAAATCTATTTAAAAACCACTCTCACAGTGAGGGAATTGATCAGTCTGATTAATCCTTCTGACATTTACGTCCCAAACTTATCATTTTCGTGCATCATATAGATAGAGAGAGAGACTAAGAAAAAAGAGTGAATTCACAATACATGGACATTTTCTTGCACATTTATAGAGAAGGATATGCCTTTGATAAAAGCGCTTTCCCTGCGTGCAATAAATTGATATACAGAGAAGAGACGCTGCTGATTCCTATATCCACTTCAAGCCTATGTTTGAAGAGGAGCAGAACGTGAACAATACCCTGGTGAAGAGACGCTGCTGATTCCTATATCAAATTCAAGCCTATGTTTGAAGAGGATCAGAACTTGAACAATACCCCGGTGCATATTTAGGTCTACAGGCTCCATACGCCCCCTTGATATTGATATCTTCCATTTTCTATAAACTTTCTTTTAAAAACTATGTAGGTGTGCTTTAAGGCCCCAATCAAGGGTTTTCAATCTCGAATAGAGGATTGATGTAAATTGTATTATGAATTAAGTATTTTCGAAACTCCTCACTAACCCCAATGTATGTAAATACCGTTTTAGTTTCCATACATGAAATGTAAAAGGTGAACTTGGCCTTGGATATATTAGTTCGTGGGTTCATTTGTGTGAATAGAGTCATACTATCTTAATCTTCTTTCCTGCACATTTCTGCAACCACTACTACATTGAGAAATATAGAATATTATATTGTATCAATATAAAAAGAATAATAACTTTTTACATCATGGCACACATTAAATAAACTAGTGAACCAAAATATGTCTGATTTGTTGGCTTACGAAAAAACCCGCCTTAATAAAGATAGTATTCTCTATAAAGAAACCATTTATCTTTTGTACATGGAGGTCACAATCATTTTTGTCTTTTAAATTTCAAATTCAAAATGAATGGTTGTACGAGAATCATTGAGAAACAAGGTTCCATAAAGATAACAATCTTGAAAAGTGAAATGAGATAGTTGAAGCCTCTCTAATGTTTTCATGTATACATTTAAACTTACCAAATAAATAAACATTTATATTATATATAAGTAAGCCCAAGTAGGCAAAAGATATCATCATCTTTCACATGAGAGAGTTCCAACATTGCAGCTAAAGCTTTCCAAACGTAAGCCAAAGCAGGGAGGACCAGTAAATGTTGGGGGCTTCTCTATTGAGCTCTTTTCCTCTATCCCAAATCTCTCTTCCACTTCCAATTACAGGATGAAAGATCCCCTTCATAAAATTGTTTACCATGTTGGTGAATATTGTCCAGTGCATTCTGCAAGTTTCTTAACTGCGATGATCATTGCACTGTTGAAAAGAGGATATGACCATAGCCGCAATAGAAGAGGTACCGACCATGAGGAAGAGGCCCAAGAATTTGTCAAATTGCAGACCATAGGAGGTGCGTACATTCGAAAGGTTTGGGTTTGTGGTTTGTTCCCCAAACCAGATCTTCTCCAGTGCTGCCACGGCACCTCCGTCAGTTACATTTAGAACAGCTCTAGATATGTCTGAAAGCATTGGAGAGTTCTTCGGAAGTACCTGGAACATACTGAAAAATCAGATATGGAACATACTGAAAATTCAGATATTCAGCTGTGAAGTCCAATCTTTTATAAAGCAAGTACTGGAATGAGGTAAGCACTCATTAAACATTGGTATTATACATTTCTATAACGATAGATGTAACTCTTACAATGAGATAAGAGTAAAAGGGAAACTTATATGGATCAAAATCTTTCATATTGATATTAATTCATGGTTCATGGTGAAGCCTCTCTAGTAGGATGTTATTTGGGGAGACTAGTAAGTGAGTGGGAAGATTAACTTTGTCTATAGAAAAAACTGCCTAAAGTTTGTGTGGGAAGACTCCATGACGATTGGCTTGAGATTGAAGGGTACTTTTTAGCAAATTGCCATTTGAAATACACACACATATACACAAAACACATACAAATCCGAAGCCTCCGGTTTTGAAAGTAGGTCCGGCCATAGTGAACTTATCAAGGTTGCCAGAGAGAAAACTTTTGATGTAGGGGATCTCATCAAAGATTGCTGCAACTCCACCCTTAGAGCTGCCCTTTGACAAGGCTTTGGCATTGTCATCGACTTTCTGCACGGCCCTTAGCTTCGATTCTGGGATCCCCAACTTCTTCAATAGCCCTTCCAGAAAAGAATTATTTTGGTACCCCACATAGTCGCCATTTCTTATTAGAAATTGAATATCTGTAACAGTGGGCTCCAATTGCTTTACAGTGAGAATGGAGGCCAAGTTGGCAGTGTAACTGCTACTTAATACAAGCAATAGGAACAACCATAAGATGATAACAACCCGAGTCAAATTGCTGGTTATCCTATCACCTGGAAAACATCAATTATTAATTAGATAAATGCCATCAAATAGAAATATTGAGCATTATAAAACGAGACGGTGTTGTTCAAATGAAGTCTAGTTGTTTGATGTCATGATTTCATGATTTCATGGCTAAGTAGTGCAAAAGAAAATCAAAAGGAAATGCTTAGTTCATTTACATTAATAAGGAACATAAAATGCTAAAATAGAAAATCATATAGTATTTGAGCAGAAAAATGACTATTCACATGGTAAAACGCGGTCTAACAAAACTACCTCCATCCTTATCCCAACCAAATGGGGACAGAATCTAACAAAACTATCTACAATTTCTAATTTTTTTTGACATAGTCTTTAGTGTACCCAATGGTCTGGTTTTCATTATAGGAAGAACATATATTTGGGAGAAAAAAAGCAAAACAAAAAGACTTCATGGTAGAAATACTCACGATGAGAAAAGGTTAGTGTTGAGAAGGAGAAATAGAGTGCTTTGCCCATTTGTTCTCTCAGTGGACCTTGAAAATCTTTGTTTCTCCCATTCTCAAGAAACCAAATCACAAATGCTATGATGAAGAAGAAACTAGTGCTGACCAACCAAACTTCCCATGTCAAAGGCATAAAAAATGTCCATGCATCACTCCCGTGTTTCCTTTTAACAGGCACTATCATTGACACCCCCGAGTCTGTGTATGGTGGCGTAAAGTCGACATAATTTGATCGGTTCGCTATGATTGTTACATCGCCCACAACAGCATCGTAGTTCTATTACCACCAATACAATGCATGTACGATGATCATAATTTTACCTAGCTATCAAATGTGAAATTCGAGAGCTTGGTGTGTATCACACCTCAAACTTGATTATGGTTTGAGATGTGTGGATATAAAAAACGTTGTGGTTTGTATAAAGTGACAACCTTAAGCAATCCAAGTAAGATGCACCTCTAAATTATTCTAAAAGAAGTAGTTTTAATGTCAAAAACTTTGTGATGGCGTAAAAAATTATTTTCATTCCTAATAATGAAATTTAATGCTCAAAAAATGGTGAACATTGAGTAAATCTACAAATGCTTGAAAATATTGAAAATGGATGATCCAGATAATACATTACAAGATGCACTATTTTCAAGAGTTGAAATCATTATTTTTTTTGCTATCGATATATCTCGAGGTCAAGATGATCAATTGGAGGGTTTAGCAGTGTTGGAACAATATCTTTTGGTAGGTTTTTGAAGTACTCCTTACTACTACAATAAGAGGTTGACATCTTATGTTAATGTTTTCTAATAAAAGAAGGTATCTATTTAGCTTCAATTTTTTAATAGAAAATGGGTAGGGGTCCTCTTCCCTTCTAATTCAATCCAAAAATATATGAACCGTATTTTTTTTGAAGATTTTCAAATATTTGTAAATCTGCTTGATCTGTACTATTGTGGAGCTTTAATTTCATAATGAGGAGTGGAAATAGATTTTCAAATCATTATAGTGTTTTTTGCAACGTGAACTACTACATCTTTCAATATATTTAGAGGTGTGCCTGACTTTGATTGTTTAAAATTGACGTTTTATATGAACTATAATATTTGATAAAAGAGTGTATATTATGTGATCATTTATCTTTATTACAAGGAGTCACAATCACTCTTAGCCATTAGATGTCAAATTGGATGGGTTGGAATGTGTCAAAAAGTTCGAGAAATTTCTTTTTGATCTTTGAGTGTAGCCGATAAGACTCTTACAACCACCCAATTTGAAATCTGCTGGATAAGAATAATAATAACCTTCTTGTACCAAAAGTAAATGGTGTCTTTGTGTACTTTTCATTGATAAAATGAGGATTAAAAGGCTACTGAATAGTATACTAACCCCAAGAAACACTTGGTAAACCAGCTCGTCATATGTTCCCTTACTTTTGCCATGGCCATCTCCAAATGGGACAAGCTCGTAGGGAAGATTATAAGGCAAAACTTTCACAACCTCAGCAAAAACATCAACAGAGAAACCAGTCACCCTTTGGGCACCACTGATAGGGTCTTCTTCCACAGTCACAAACTTCCCATGAGTGAATGGAACACCTATCCTTAATTTCTCTTTACCATTTGGGTTCACCACCCAACCCTTGGGCGCCACCGCAGATCCACCAGGCCAGATCAATCGTCTGAGATCCTTTTCCTTCTGACGTATTTTCCAGCCACGTAACAGTCCGGACTCCGGCGACCAAAACCCAACGTCTCTCACACCTTCTTTGACAATGTTAACAATTTGAAATTTGGAACCCAGAAGCTCTCCATTAATGAACCGGATTTGGCCGGTCAAACCTCTAAATCGGGACTCTAAGATGGCTCTCAGGAGTTTTGGTCCTGATATGGAAATTCGTAATGTTGAGAGATCCGTCATATTTCCGGCCAATTTCCCAGGGATTGGTTGCCGGAAGTTTGCCGCTTCCGTGCCAGATTTTTCAATTGCAAGAGCTAGAGCCCAAGTTGCATCATAGGCTCTTAAACCGAAAACATTTAAATCTGGAATTTCTTTTTCATTTGAATACTCTTCCTTGTATTGCTGCTCCCACCTAGCTGTGAATTTAGCCAAATGTTTCGACTCCTGTATGTATGCTTTTACACCAATCACCCCTTGCATTGAGCTCTTGACTGTAGGATCCATAGAGTTTAAATGATTGGAGATCCCATCTGTTATGATCCAGACATATTCTTTGCTCATCATGCCGAGTTGTTGTACTTGCAGAAACAATCGGGAGGCCAGAGAAGACATCATATGAACGATAAAAACCCGGGTTTGCATAGCCATCAGTCTATTGAGCTCCTTGGTGATTAACTTTTCAGAAGCCATGGGGGAAAGGACGCATCTAAATAGAATTTGAGAGCCAACTTCTTGGAGTGCATCTCTTAGGTATGGAATGAAGCTGGCTCCATATTCGGTGTCTTCGTATATGGCAACAGCTTCTCTCCAGTTGTAGGCTTTTGCGAGAGCTGCAATGGGTCTCGCTTGGGCCGAGTCATTGGGGGTCGCTCGAATAAAGTAAGGAGTATGCGAGGACGAGAGAGAAGGTGAGGTCACAGAGAAACAGAGTATAGGGATTTGTGATTTTTGTCCAAGATGAACAGGAAAATCGGCTTCTGCAGATGTTTGCGGGCCGATGATCGCCTGCACTCCTTCATTCTTCATGAGATCCAAAGCTGAAACACAAAAAAAGAGGACCAATGCTTCAACATATCCTTACCTCAGATGAAAGAAGGGGAGGCGATGTTAGTTTTATCCTGGGTGTGCTTACATTACACATGCAAGTGTGTCAATTCACCCAAATAAAAAGAACATGGCTATCACATAGTGGCTATCAGAAAACAGTCTCAGACCATGATCTCAAGTGTTAGTTCATCTTAGTAAAATAATCAAAAGAGAAAATAATGAAATAATAACTATTATTTTTAAAATTTTAAAAACAATGGTCGTTATTTGTTAAAAATGGTGCTTGATGTATTCGGCCAGTACATGTTCTAGTGGGTTCCTGACATCTGCACAATCTAATGTAGTTAGACAATGCAAATTGCACTAAAAAAGTCGATTATCTCGATTTCTAGTGCAATCTACACCGTCGAATTATATTTAGGAAAATTGTTTCATGCTGGCTGGACTGCGTTTATACAATATGCGGTCCAGAGGTATAAAGCACCCACTGCGTTTATACAATATGCGGTCCAGAGGTATAAAGCACCCATCTTAAAGATGGATGCAAATAGGCGGTCCATTTAAAAACAATTGTAACTAACAGCCCAAATGTTTTTTAAATATAATTATTATTTTTAGTTTTCAAATATATATTTTTTCACATTCATGATCTCCATATTAAAGATTATATATTCTCTAAAAATTAGGATAAAATTATATTTAAAAACTATATTTATTGCCAAGCCCACATTTCTACAATATGCGGGCTGGCCGCATAGAAACCGTATCGTTGTATTTAACAGCAGAATGTACATGCCACGCAACTTTTGGTCCGTTGGGACTGTGTGGGTAAAGATAACCTAAAAACTAACCTATTCTTTGAAGAAGAAAGTTTATATTAGAACCGAGCCTCTAAACAATCAAATTAGACCCCACCTGAAAAATTTCATTAAAAGAGGTTATTTGATGTCCAAATATCTTCAAATTGATTATATCAACATCAAGATACATGAACAAGAGAAAAAAATGATTTCAAGTTTCGGACATAGTGCATCTTATAACGCAGTTTTGGACCGTCATTTTCAAGATTTTCAAGTTTTCATAGATCTGCTTGATCTACACTATTTTTAAAGCTGTAAATTTTATAATTTAAGATGAAAATATATTTTAAAGCTATCACAAAGATTTCCAGTATTGAAACCATATTTCTCAATGCTATTTGAAGGTGTGATTTACTTTGATTGTTTAGAGCGTCAGCTCTATACCTACCGCACCCTTCTTTGAATATTTCCCAATGGTTTCACCCAAAATTTTAAAAAAAATCGATTCAGATCGGAACCGGCTGATTCGAATTGGGAATCGTCATGCTCAAATCGTTTTTGCTAAATGTCGAGAATCTGCTCGTTCTCCCCATTAGACTGCAGGTTCTAGCGAGTTCTCTTACAGAACCGTTGGTTTTGTTAGAGAACCCGTCTAAAACGACCCTACATTTTTTTTCTTTTTCATTTATTTAACTTTTAATGATTGATTCTATAGACCACTGATTGGTTCTGTAGACGAGATCGCCAATCCGAATCTCCAATCTACCAAACAGGAAATCCGAATAAACGTTCTGGGCCACCGCACCATTTTGTTCCCTAAGGTTTTGTTTTCCGGGGACACGTTTCGACTATTGATTTACTCCGTTAAATCCATCTTTTGATCTCTCATCATTTATAAGAGCACATGGTCGAGCATTCTTCATTTAATTGAGGAATTGTCCTGTGCACAAAAAGTCGAGGAATTGTCTTCTATGCAATTGATGTTTTTTGTATTTTTAGAAAGGAGAAAGTATGAGCCATACGCTGTTGTGTTTTTGTAGGGCAGGCAATGGACCTGGCTGAGCCCAGTTGGGCCGACCTTGTAAGATTGGGACCTATTTTCCTTTATTTTCCTATCTTTTCATGCTTTTCTTCTTTTGGGTGCATTAGGCCCAGTCGTGGCCTGGTTTAGCCCAGGCCCAACCTTTTGCCACTTTTGAGTGGGTGTACCCAACCCTCGGATTCCATATTCACCATCCATTGTCGATGGATGGTGTGGGTTGGAGTGCTGTAATTTCCCTTCCCTTTCAAAGACTTTCACTACATCATTGAGCTCACCACCGTCATGGTAGTTAGACAACTTCCATTGTCCACGTGGGCTGGAGCATCACCATCTATCTATAGACAGAGACACTACTAAATGGTTTCACACATTGGTTGGTGGCGATTTCCTACCTAGTCGTTCAAAAGGAACATGCAGCTGAGCCCTTGACGGGTCTCGGGATGCCCAGCTGAATACGAGCCCTCTCACGGGTATGCGGATGCACTTACTAAAGTGTAACTTTCAAGGACAAAATATTGAAAACTTATTGAAAGAAGAATGAGAGTGTAACTTTCAAGGACAAAATATTGAAAACTTATTGAAAGAAAAATGAGAAAAAGGAAGAGATACAAGTATACAATACTTACAAAACACCGAAACACAAGTTTTTTTTTTTTTTAAGTTGGTTCACCTTTTAGGGCTATCTTTATGTGAGAGGCACACTGTCCACTTCAACAAAAGGGATTACAAGTATTTAGTGTGTAACAACTGCTTCTCCCAATAAGCAAACACTCTCTCTTAGTATACCAGGCTCGTTTTCTCTCTAGAGGTTTTTCTCTATCTGGGTTTTTTTCTTTCCTTTCGCTTTCTCTCTTCAAGAGGTTTCTCTTCACTTCTCTCTTAGGCGTAAGAGGCTTCACAAAACACACACTCTCTCCAAAAGAACCTTTTCCTCTCAGGATATCCTCGCTAAGTTGCTTCTCATCCACCAAAAAATGTGCACAAACACACGAATGGATGTCTAATTTTCAACTTCACAAATGATGTTGTTTCATACTTTCAGTAATTCTGAAATAATTCAAATTTTTTTGTTTTATCTATGACTAAGCATTAAATGTGTCCCTCCTGGGGGAGGGGGGGGGGGAAGGAGAGAGAGCTTCGGAGATATTTGAAAAAATTGTTACCATACTGAGAAGATTAGACCTGCGCAAGGACCACACACATAGAGGAGATAGGGAGAGTACCAGCTGAAGCTGCCTGGACTACATCTCCACCTGAATCTCTTGAAGAAAGAAGTATGGTAGTGTTGAAGTTGGGGTGCTTCTTGTAGAAATCTTGAATGGCCATGCTTATGCACATATTGCTCACTCTCCCAACCCATGAATCCATGTCCAAAACAACTCCAACTTTGATAACATCTCTCTCTTCCCCTTTGGCCAGGGTTAGGAACACAAGAAAAACATTCAAAAGAAGAACCCTTGCCATTTCTCTCTTCATGGCTGTAAACCAAAGCCTAGGCCAAAGCCCATATAATAGGGTTATGGGACTTCATAAAGTATGTGGAAATGAGGGTATTCCCCTTGGTCACATATAACAGGGTCATGGGACTTCATAAAGTATGTGGAAATGAGGGCATCCCCCTTTGTCACGGCACCCCTTGTATTGGCTTTTGGTCAATGTTCTATGCAAGTAGTTGACAGACGACGGAGACTTAGAGCTCGTTTGGCTGGTAGGAAAACTTGCATCGTGAAACAAACTGCACAAGAAACAAACAGTTACACAGTGTTTTAAAAAACGCCGAGTCGAACCGGACTCGGAAATCGTGAAAAGGGGACTGGATCGCCTAAAAAATCGGAAATCATCAAGTTCTAGAGAGAACCGGATGATTCTGTACAGTGAATCGCCGATTCACTGTACGGAATCGGCAAGTCCGAACAGTGAATCGGCGAGTCCGTACGGAATTTCTTTTTTTTTTTTGTTTTTTTTGTTTTTTGTTTTTTTTGTTTTTTATAATCCATGATAGATTTTTTTGTAATACTTGATCGATTTTTTTGTAATCCATGATCGAATTGTTTTTGTTTTTTTGTAATCCATGATCGAATTTTTTGGTTTTTTGTAACCCATAATAGAATTTTTTGTAATCCACGATCGAAATGTTTGTTTTCTTTTCTTGTAATCCATGATCAATTTTTTTGTTTTTTTTTTTTTTGTAACCATGATAGAATTTTTTGTAATCCATGATCGAAATGTTTGTTTTTTTTTTGTAATCCATGATTGAATTTTTTGTTTTTTGCTTTTTTTGTAACCCATGATAGAGTTTTTTGTAATCCATGTTTGAATTTTTTGTAATCCATGATCGAACTTGTTTTTTCTTTTTTGTAATCCTACGTATTGTAATTTTTTGTTTTTTTGTTTGTTTTTTTTGTTTGTTTTTTTTGTTGTTTTTTTTGTAATCCATGATCGAATTTTATGAAATCCATGATCGAATTTTATGTAATCCATGATCGAATTTTATGTAATCCATGATCGAATTTTATGTAATCCATGATTGAATTTTTTGAAAATTTGTGATTTTTTTTTTAATCCATGATCGAATTTTTTTTTGTAATCCATGATAGAATTTTTTGAACATTTGTGATTTTTTTTTTAATCCATGATCGATTTTTTTGAAAATTTGTTATTTTTTTTTTTAATCCATATTATTCAAAGAGAAAATGAGAGAGATGATGATTCTGAGACCACCCTATCCCAGCCATATTATTCACATATCGAGTCCCAACAGCAACAGTGTAGGGATGAGCAGGAAATACTGTAAATTAAATGCTGAATGGCGGTTCATGCAGGGAAAGAACATATCAATATTCGCATATTCATTCAAAAACATGAAAATTCTTAATGAAGTACCCTCGTTTTTTATTGAATTCCTAAAAAACAATATTTATAATGAATTTTAATAATTTTTTTGAATTTTTTTTAAGCTTTATTCTGACCGATTCACCCGATTCCCGATCCGGATCGTCGATTCGCCGATCCGGATCGGTTTTTTGGAAGCCCGATCCGAGTCACCGATCCGTTTTTTAAACCATTGGTTACACATATTTGGTTCATGTGTGAAGTCGATGAAAACCTTTTCATAGGAAATAGTTTTACCACCACAAGGAGCAAATAGTGTGAAAAGGATTCCCCACCCCACTAGATGGGGAGTAAGTTCTTGACGATCCATTACTCGTCATGCAGACTCGAAAAAATATTGCATTCAAGTTTATAACAAGGGGTTGAAACCACGAAAAAAAATAAAAATAAAATAAAAAAGAAAGAAAAATATTTTTCTCTCTTTCCATCACCCATTTCTCTCTCTCTCTATTTTTTTTTTTTGAACATTAACACAAACTTTCTATTAACTCAAAATAGTATTACACGATACAAAAGATACATGAAGCAAAACAAGAGGAACCATTAGGAAAAATTAATAACCAAAGAAGGGAAGTTAGCTTCTCCTTTGGCCTAGGCGTCTGCCTCCTCATTCGCCTAACGAAAGTAATGTTGCAAGATAGCATTGAAACAAAAAAGGATGTTCCTAATCTCATCAAACAAAATTCTAATACTCCATCGAACATTGAACTCTCCACTACTTCAAGCTATGACATTTGTTGAGTCTCATTCAATAATCTTCTGCCCTTCCTAACGTGAAAGGAGTTTCAATATCCCCAAGAGACCTCTATCCTTTGTTTCATTTGCGGTAGCAATACTATAAGGACCTGGTTATGAGCATAAAACATAGCCCAAATGATTTCTAATCAGCCCACCATAGCTTTTTACTCCTAAATTCCCAAAGTTACTACCATTAAAATTCAATTTAATTGAGCATAATGGAGGAGGAGACCAAACAACAACTCTTTGGCCAGATCTCATGTTACCTAAAGTTACCACTGTTAAGGGGTTATTAAGGACGAGACTCCTTCATGTAGAGCTACTATTTTTGTGAGAGGAGAACCAACCTGCTGCCAAGGCTAGAATATTAGATTTTAGCATAACAAAATCTCTAATAACTCCTTCAAACACTCTTCGATTTCTCTCCATCTACAAACCCCATAGGACACTTGCCCACAAAGAACGCCATAATATATTGGCCACCTTTGGAATACCAGAGGATAACCATTGAGTGATGAGTAACCTGCAATGTTATGGAATTGGATTGGATAAATTAAAGTATTGGTGAACACAATTCCAAATATCAGAAATAAAAGGGCTGAAGAGGAATAAATGTTGGGCCGTTTCATTGCTAGCTTTGCACAACATGCAGACATTGGTTAAAATGAGACCCCCGTTTCTTAAGTTACCCACAGTGGCTAGCTTGTCTTGACATAAGATCTAAAAAGACAACTATACTTTAAGCAGGACATGAAGTTTATTTGGGAAAGTCCTAAATCCAGTTGTCTATATCAATCACAGAAGATAATGGCATAAGCTGACTTAATCGAAAAAGTTCCTAAAGTAGTAAGGTCCCAGATCACATCATCTTGTACATTAGGGAAAGCTGGACATTATTTAACATGTCCAACAAGGTTTGATACTCAAGGATAAAAAGTATTAGTTATTCTCATGTACTTGTAATGAATTGACCAAACAATGTTAATATGAGCATCCCCACTAGTATCCCTCACCGTAGCTAGTGGGTTTGAAACTTTAGAAAATACTTTTGGGAAATGGTATCTAAGAGGGTAGTCACTAAACCATTTATCATACTAGAAAAGTGTAGATTCCCCATTACCCACTACTTTCTGGAAGTAGCAAAGATAAATAGGTCTCTCAAAATCTATCCCCCTCAAAATATGGGAAAGATTGACCTTATGTTTTGGGGGCTTTATAATATCATATTGTTGGTCTATTCCATATTTTCTCTTAGAACTTGTTACCCAAAATGAGCCTTGTTGCGTACGAACTCTCCACAACCATTTTATAAGTAAAGTAGAGTTCTTGCTTTTCAATCTACGAGTCCCCAAACTGCCTTCTTTTATAGGTGCGCACACCTTAGCCTAACTAATCAAATGAAATTTTTTTTCTTTTTTTCATCATCTCCCCACAAAAAATTCCTCATAAGTCTCTCAATAATACTAACAATCTGTGTAGCTGTTCTAAATAAAGGTATATAGTAGACTTGAAGGTTGGTAGAGTAGATTTAATAATTGTATATCGACATCCAAAATACAAAATCGTTGCCTTCTATAAATCCAATTTTTTATTAAATCTCTCTATCACTGAATCCCAAATATACTTTGAGGGCCTCGAATCAACCAAAAGTATACCCAAGCATTTGCAAGACATCTTCTCAACATCACATCTTAACACACCAGCCATCCTTGATACTATATTTTGAGGACATCCAATGCCGATCAACTTGGTTTTAGAGAGATTAACTTTCAGCCATGTTTCCATTTAAACGCTCTTTAAAAAGAAATGTCCACAATCCACTGATTTCCATTACATTTGGATCACAAAAATTATGTGAAACAGTCGGATCATTGTTCCCAACTTCAATACCTAAAATAAGACCATGTGAGGATACACCTCTTCCATAATACTGAAACTTTCCGCCACCAATTTGTATAAAAAAGGTGATAGTGGATCCCTTTGTCTGAAACCTCAAAGCTCCCAAAGAAACCAGTTGCTTTACCATTCATGAGAATTGAGAAATGAGAAGATGATAGACCTCCCTCAGTCCAGATCTCTTTCTCTCTCTTTCTTTCGGCCGTCATATCTCTCTTTTCTGAAGCTAGTTTCTAGAGGGAGAGGGTTTTTAAAGAGAAAAGGAGAAATTGGATTTATAGAGAGAGAATGGGTTTCTAGAGAGAGAAAGAGAGATTGATTTTCTAGAGAGATGATGGACTTTTAGAGAGAAAGAAATATTGATTTCTAGAGAGCGTGGGTTTTAAAAAGAGAAAAGTGATTGGGTTTTAGAGAGAATGAGTTTCTAGAGAGAGAAAAGATAGATTTGGTTGCTAGAGAGAAAGGATTTCTAAAGAGAGGAAGAGAGATCGGGTTTCTAAAGAGAGAAAATGGAATTTTAGAGATAGAAAGAGAGATTGGGTTTCTAGAGAAAAAATGGGTTTTTAGAGAGAAAAAGAGAGATTGGGTTTCTAGAAAAAAATGGGTTTTTTTAGAGAGAGAGATTGGGTTTTTAGAGAGAGAAAGTGAGTTTTTACAAAAGAAGAGAGATTGTGTTTTTAGATAAAGAAAATGGGTTTTTAGAGAGAGAAAGAGAGAGGTATTAGAGAGAAATTGTGTTTTAGAGAGATGAAGACAAATATATTTTAGAGGGAGAAAATGATTTTTAGAGAGAGATTGAGTTTTTATAGATAATGGTTTTTTAGAGAGAAAATAGATATTTGATTTCTAGATAGAGAAAATATGTTTTTAGAAAGAGAAAGCGAGATTGGGTTTTTAAAGAGAAAGAGATAATGAGTTTCTAGATAGAGAATGGGTTTTAGAGGGAGAAAGAGAGATTGGATTTCTAGAGAGAGAAAATAAGTTTTTAGAGAGAGAAAGAGATATTGGGTTTATAGAGAGAATAGGTTTTTAGATAGAAATAGATAGA